AAAAATAACAAAAAAATAAATGTAAATATAAATGTGGATTATTATGGGATAGTGGGGAGGGCGGCTCCATCTTCATAGGCTTCCATTTGTGGCGGATACCACGGATACATATGCTGGTGGCTCTGATTATAGCTATGCTTATTCTAGCACGTAGCCAACCCATTACTATAGATAGGGGTCTGGTCCATCGATCAGCAAGGACCTCAGCCAGGTGTCTTATAAAAGATGTCAGTTGTGGGACAAAAACACCATCAGTGGAAGTTACAAGTATAACTTGATTTTTTAAGTAGTATTAAGACTTTTATCTAGTATACTATACTATTTTAAATTTTTAATATGTTTGAGTGACAAGTATTTGAATACTTTTTACTGTACTCGAATACTTTTCAAAGCAAGTTAATAATTTTTCAAAGTATTCGAATACCTTTGATAGTATTAGAATACTTTTGAAAGTATTCGAATACATTCTAAAGTATTTGAATATTTATTTTTTGAAGTATTTGAATACTTTTCAATGTATCTGTATCTAGTATTCGCTTGTGCTGGACGTAAAAGTATTTAGTATTCAAATACCTTTGATTTGTGTAAAGTATTTACTATTTAATATTCAAATACTTTTTAAAAGTATTCAGCCCAGCTCTGTTAACGGATATAATATAATAACGAATATTTCAATATTAGTGAGGAAATTTTGATCACATTGGCAGACATCCACCTATTAACCATATCCTTCTGTTTTGTAGGTATTAATTTGGACGGTTATCCTGATCTGGTGTATCGATGAAGCATTTGCTGAAATATCCTGCGAAGTAAAGGAAGTGAAATCGTCGACCCCAACCCGTCAACATTTATACTATAATGATCGTTACGGTAGATACAACAAATATGAGGATGTTTTCACAAAATTATACAGTTTTGCAATATGCGAAGGTGGTGAAGTTGACGCCGAGTTTAAAATCAATATCGCCACATCCGAAGAGTTGAAATATATAATATTTCAGAACAGTAAACTCACAACAGTTCCCGTTCACATATTTGCATCGTTACAAGGTGTTCAAGAAATGTATTTAAATTCAAGTGAAGTGGAAACCATTCAACCGGGTGCATTTACTGGCCTTTCCAACTTAAATCAAATATACTTACAAGATAATAATATTACAAAGTTGTCCGCTGGGATTTTTAATTCATTAACTAAGTTAGAAATACTAAATGTGGCGAACAATTTATTGGAAAGTGTAGAAGAGCATACCTTTTTGGGAGTACTTAGTTTAAAGAAATTAGATCTGCACAGCAATAATTTAAGTTACATTTTACCGAATACCTTTTCAATGTTGCGCAAGTTGGAGTACGTAGACCTATCGCAGAATTATTTAGTTGAAATAACATCCGACATTTTTGCAACAAATCAGCTGTTGTATCTGAATTTGTCTTGTAACAGCATCCAGAATGTAACTTTCTCGTACTTGCCCAGTTCATTGCAATTTTTAAATTTAAGTCACAATGCTATAGCTGAGGTAAGCAATTTATCTCATCTTCTTAGTTTGTTACAGTTGGATGTTAGTTTTAACAAAATAACTCAAATTTCTTTCGCCGTTCAAAACCAAACTGAAACATCGGCGACTTACAAATTGATCGATTTGGATATAAGTCACAATCTAATACCAAACATAACACTGAATTCTTTTAATAGCCTGCAAGACCTTATTAAACTGAACATGGCGGATAATTTGATCTCCGTAATTTCAATTGGGTCTTTACACTACCTTCAATCACTCGTATTTCTTAATATGTCAATGAATAAGATTGAAGAAGTAGATTTCGGCACATTTGGGAATTTGGAACGTTTGAACACGTTAGATATTTCCAACAATGGTTTAAGTAATTTCCAAGAAAGTACCCTTCATGGCACCAAAAATCTCACTCATTTGTACTTATCTGATAACTTGATAAAGTCTATAGATGCGCCCTACCTAAAGGCTCACTGTGGATATTTAAAAACCATATCTCTACATAACAACCCATGGAATTGTTTAATTTTAGGCAAGCTGGTTAAAACGTTCGAAAGATATCAAGTCACCGTCGTACGCGGACCTACAACAATATCACAGCATGTCAATGGAATACGTTGCTATACTAACAAGGTTACTGAGCCGTTCGAATCTGTTAACACAGCAGCGTCGACAACTGAAAAGTTTCTACTTCCAAATATGCCCAATGTCTCTACATACTTCGACTCTCTCGCTGAAAATATTAATAGAACTTTTAATACTTTCTTCAACAACTTCCATGGACTTGAAGATATACTGCGAAATTCTTCTTTTCATACGTTCCCAAATTTTGAAAACTTAGATGCCCGCTTCAAAAATACCAGTTTTTATAAATTTTTTACCATCGACTTTAATCAAACGGATTTTGTCCGTCATACTAGCAAGCTACCCTCGGTAAATGCAGAACACGAGAAACTCGAGATTATTCCCAACCGCTTGGAATCAAATCCACCAAGTTCTTCGGGCAGCGATAAATATATAAATAATTCTAGATTAGATGACATTCTAGTGAGTTTTAAGGGCGAAGTGACCGTTTTCATGATATTGTTTTTAATTGTGCTTGTTGTTGTTGCTGTCTTGCTTGTTTTATTGTATCTAAGGGTTCGCTCAAAGGACGAATGCCGTCTGTTTTTGCAAAGACGCCAAGAAAAGAGCATGTGCTGTGATGCGCAATTGGAATTGATTTAAGAATTGTGTAAATCATTTTTGTTCTGAGTAAACTTACAAATAAATATATGTAAAATTGATTTTTTTACTATTGTTTACGTTTTGTCCGTCCGTCCGACCGATTTCTGCCGTTTTGAACTACTTTTAGGGGAATGGTCCTGAAATTTGTTGCAGTAAGTAGCCTAAACCTTGAAGGTGTGCCAAACGGCCATCAAATTTCGCTGTCGGGTGAGGGGGAGGGGGCAACGAAAGGGATCGTTTTCTACCAACTACCGCTCTTCTTTCTGACCCCTTATTAAAACCATGGTCTAATGAACGGCCTCAATGAAAGGAATTAATTTCTGCCAACCATAGTCCTCCTCGACCCCTTACCGTGATCGGAAAAGGGTACCCACAAAGGACGATGGAGACGTCTGGAAGAAATATATCCATTGGTGATGTCAAAACTTTAAGAGGGAAAAATCGAAAACGGTTTGTCGGAAAAAAGTACTCTCAACGGCAAAATGAATCGACTGGCCGAGACATATCGATTGGTGAAGTCGAGGCAAATACCTTGACACGGAAGTGTCCGAAGAGGGTACTCATAAAATGCAAGTGGAGCGTCACGACAAGGCATATCTATTGGTGATGTCAAAGTTTTTCTGCAAATATCTGCAGAATGGAGTGTCGGAAGATTTTTAATGTGTGCCAGACGGTCTTTAAATGTTTGGTGGCTCTTTGCCTCCTCCCCATTAATCACCTACTAAGAAAGTAAACAATGATAGCATGCTTACTACCTTATAACCCAACCATTTACTAAGCTATTTCTGTTTAAACAAAATGCGCTTTATCTACACCGGAGTTGTGCACAATTTATACTTGTTTTTTCTTTTAGTTTCAACGCGTAAGCGAGCAATTGTATTGAAGGATTTCAGTGAGAATATTTGACGATTACAAAAATACATTCCTTACAATTGTATTCAGTCCCTGTTTCATTTGAAAAAATCAATTTCATGTAGCATCACGTCAGTATTGTTGATTTTGGCAGACTTTTTAACATTCAATCCGACGAGGCCATGGTACAGGACGCTAAAGAAAAGCAGTCAAACGTCAAAAATTTGAAAAAATCGAATAACTTGAAAACCTTTGATGCTAGGTGCAGGGAAATGTGGTATCTAATGACGTAGATTTTCATGTTCATTTCGAAAATGCAATAAAATATAGGGTGTTCTATTTAAAATAAGAAAGTTGGTATCCACATCCGGTAAACCCGAGGGTAAACCGGAAGTGAAACAATTATGATAATTTTTTTTCGAAAGATCACGAAAAACTATATTTGTATGCTGAAAATTTTCAGATTATAATTATTAATGGAAGTCACTTTTAAGTAACGGTTTGCGTGAAACAGCCAGTAGTATATCACTTCCAAGAAACACTCTAACTTTGGTGATAATGAACCGATTTAGACCAAACTTTAAGGGTTGGTGTCACTCATAACTATCCCGGTCAAGTTAGTGATCAGCCAAGGAATCTACCTACACCTGATCGGCCGAGCCGAAAGGGATTTTTTAAATCTTTTGAACCACTGTGATCCTATTCAAAAAAATGAACGGTCTAAAACTATTTTTCATAAATTATTGAAATCCTCGGATATAAATAACGCCAACTGGATTTTTGCAGTTGAACTACAAAATTGAATTTAAATATTTTTCCGACCAACCTCATATAAATTACAAAAAATAAGGTCGTAAAATTGCTTGTAGAATCAAAGAATGTACAAATACACAATGTAGTTAAAATTACGAAATTTTATATTAATAAATATTCTAATCATAATTACCACTTTTCAGTTAGCGATTATGTATGTACACCTGTCACACGGTCACTATCGTTATTGTGACTGATTCGGAAATGAAGGGGTACCATGTCATCGACCAAAATAACGCATTAAGATGTTGCTCTGCCAGAATTAAAAGAAAGTAAGAATTTTGGCAAAACAAGACTCGCTGATGGGGAAGAGCAAAGGAAACAATTTAAATTCTCGTAAGGGAAGCCGCACCAGTGAAAATGGTTATAGGTATTTGTGTTTCCCCCGTACGAAGTGTTCAATTTGATGGTGGCTCAAAAATATCGTAGTGACCAAATAATTTTAAATGTATGATCGACATTCCCGATAAAAATTCTTCAGCCAAAATAAGGTACCAATAGCTTTTTCTCTGAAGAGAGGGTAATTTCAAGAACAATTAATGTTTTGTTGAAGTGAATACCATACCACGCAATACCTATAATAGAAAATGCCGGTTCTAGGAAACATCAAGGAAAAAGATACGCTCGTAGAACATTCGTATCGCCAATTTAATCTATACTTATATACCCACCCTTACGATGCCGCATATCAGTAACGTCAGATGTTTGAAGGTATAAATAATTTCCTTTGACAGACCAGATCAGAGAGTTGAGTGAGTTATGTGCTTCGAAAGCATCATGAACAAAAACGTACGTATTCAGTCTTTTTATTTAAAAGATGTCTTATTTATACACTTCAGTTTTTCTAATGTTGTTCTATTGTTGTTTGCTGTTATTATGTACCTAAAAATTTCAAAGATAGAAAATTTGCGTAAAGGAGGAAAAGTTGTAGGTATTTCATAATCTTGTTGAAAACTGTTGCACAACTTCCCTTTTAACTTTGCAGTGGCAACAGAATTTAAATTAAAACTTATATCTAAATACCTATTTAAAGAACAATAACGCGCAACTTCACACCTTTAGGCCAATCACCCGCATACCAATTAGTGAAAGATATAGTATTTTACATTATTAGCCAGGTAAGTGAGTTTTTACTGGCGATAGGAGAAGTTGACTGGCGAGCCATTAGGCGAGCCTGTCATCTCCTAGGGCCCGTAAAAACTATTACCTGGCGTATAATGTATATTTTATTTGTTACTCATTTGTACACAATAGTAAACGTAAATAATTAGTTCTTAAATTGATCTTGAAGAAATGTCTAAAATATCATGTGATCCATGTAACAGAGACTTCGCATTAATTCTGGCCAATGAAATTACTAGATTACTAACTTGTAAAATTTTTACAGGTCTGCTGTCAGTTTTACAGGTCTGCTGTCAGTTTTACAAGTCAGTAGCGTTTAAAGATGACGTTTACCCGTTTGCGTTTTGTCTTGTTAATCAACGTTTACAACTGAGTAACAAATAAATATAATTACGTAGATGATTGGCATTTTTGATTTTTCAAAGTCTGTCATATTCCTTGGCATACTTGATATTCTTTAGTTTTAAATTATTAGGATTTTTAAAATCCAAATTCTTTATTCCTTGTTTATTCTTTACACTTTTTCTCATACTTGATATTATTTTCCAACTCTTTAAATTTTTTTTTTTTGAAAGGAACAAATTGTTTAATGAAAATAATAGAACAAGAACAAATTACATATAAGAACGAGGTTTTAAAACATAATAAATTTCATGAAAAGAATTACTAAAAAAAGGTAAAGTTCCTAAAACACATTCGGCGTTGCCTTTTTGAATTTCTATACCTATCCGTTGGTAAATAAACTGGGTTGAGCGGGACTCTCCTGTTTTTTGCCTGAGTCTTTTACCAATTGCCGCTGTCATCATTTTGGCTTCATTTCCCCACGGACCCATGGTTTCTACAGCGAATCCGTTAAAAATAAATGTAGGTTCTAAAGCAGCGTAAGTATTTTTTTTTCTGCGTTCAGCTAAAGCGGCTGCAGAACCTGCTTTCTTCACCGAGGAGAAGAGATATGAAGGACATAAGGTATCAACACAAGTGAAGTCCCATGCCAGACATCTTCCTTCCATCCAAGGTGTTAAAGTTCTCCCATCGGGTCGTTTTTTATCAATTCCAAAAAGACGAGCAGGTTCTAAGATGACTGAATAACCAGCCTCATGGAATGCTCTTTTCTGACATTCTAAGATGTTTCGATGGCGACTGTACTTTCCTGTGTTCTTCTGACAAGATAAAGCATGATGCCCAAACTTATCCATATTGGCACCACATTTACAAATATGAGGAGTACAAACTGTAGCACCTAAGCGTAAAGCAACACTTATCTGCAAAACAGAATCTTCAAGATGTGTGGAGATTTGCCTTGCAGGAAGAGCTTGTAACCAAGCGCCTGACTCTTTTTCTTTCAGTGCTAACAGCCTTGCTTGGTGTACTGGATCATTCACGAATTTATTGAACAATTGATCGAATAACTTTTCAACCAAAGGAGTGTCCCAAGATTTTTGGATGTGACGAATTTCTTCAACAGGTTCTTGAGATTCAGCAAGTATCTTCCATTGGTTAATTGTATCAGAAATCCATTCTGCATCATTGAAATCAATAATCTGAGAAACGACAGGAAGCACGTAAAAGATCGAAGCCAAATAGGCTGGAAGAGCTAATCTTTCCGTACTTCTGACTCCCAAACCATTGCCGGACACTCTCGTATCTTTTCGATTATCCCTATGCCTCGAAATTGCATTTTTTTTGTTCCAGATCTATCCTTCTATCAGATGTAAGATCTTCAAATTCTTCAAATTTTTCAGAGTTCTTCAGATTCTTAATATTCTTCTAATCCCTTGGATGAAGCTGAGTTTCAAATTCGTAGGGTTGTATGGATGTTTTCGTTTCTTCGAATTATGCCGATTATTTCTTGATTGTTAAAATTTCTTCAGGCCTACAAGAATTTGCATATTCTAAAAGTTCTTCGAATTTTTTCGATTTTGCATATTAAAATTCGCCATATTCTTATGATTCTGTTCCGATTCTTCCAGTTCATTTGTTCCTTCAAATTCTATGCTCTGTTTGAATTCATCATGTGCTGCGGATCCTTTTGATATTTCTGATTTTTCCACTTCTTTGGACTCTTTAGACTCATCAGATCCTTTTAATTTATAAGTTTATCAGATTGTTTTCATTCGATTTTTCCCAATCTCTTAAAATCTTCACAATTATCCAATTTTTAAGAGTTATTGTTACCCATGTGCCCAGTGCCCATGCGGTAAGGTTATTCTTTCCCGACCCTACACGGGAACATTTTTGAAAAAAACGGTTATATTAAATGAGTCAGAGAAAACAAAAACTCGCAACAAAGTGAAACAGACCCCTTAAAAACATTATACACTCAAAATCCTCGGCTCTGCATTTTGATCTAAATGTATTAGAATTTTAAGCAGAATTACAAATACAATAGAATATAGGGTGTTCCATTTAAAATAAGTACGTTGACATGCACTTCCGGTATAGCCGGAAATATCATTAACTTGAAAATATTTTTATTTAAGTATAGTAGTATACTGTCAAATTTTGAAAATATTCCGACTTTTCAAGATATAAATAGCCGGTATTCGTCGTGGGACAAGGACACCCTGTATTTTTCATCCACTTTATTGCAGTATTTTTGTGTGTAGGTAATTCTATTTTTCCAATCGTATAAAATAGAGGATGTTCCAAAAGTTACTATCTTTTTACAAATATTGCATACTGGAATGTAAGTTTGACTTTGTAGTTACAAACTGTTCGAGCAATCCTGAACGCAGGAAACTTTGAAACCCAAGACGATATAAGCAGCACGACCACATTATACGAATGAATGCGCAAATACCCAATTTCATGGAGTCGATAGTACGAGTACTACGAAAGTTTGCATGTCAACAGTGACGCAGACGTGAACAGAAGACAATAAATATATTAGGCAGTTTTTATTGATCGATTTGTTCTAATCCCAATTTAAACTAGTTGTCCTCCTGACTTGACTTTCCGGCTACTTTTAAAACAGTCATTGCAATTATATTTGGTCATAGTATAACATTTAGAAAATGGCCTCTAGCGCCTTTATTTTGAACCCGACGCAAAAAGTGTAGAAGCCTTTTTTCTCAAGACACATCATTTTTGTAATTAACATTTTTCACCCTGATGCTTACTTTCAGCACAGATATATTTACGTATATCTGTGGTAGTACTAACAGTTTGCATGTCAACAGTGACCCAGACGTGGACAGAAGACAATGAATATAGTAGACAGTTTTTATTGATCGATTTTTTCCATTCCCAATTTAAAAAATATTAAAAATTTTTGCTTGGCTTCTGGAGGAAATACCTCTACTAGGGGTCAATTCTTCGGATAATCCAATTCTTCAGTTTCGTCGGACTTCAGATTCTGGAAATTCTTTGACTTTGTTGGCTTCTTCCAGTTCTTGAGTTCCCATTGTTTGAATATCGTAGATCGTACCACTTTTTCCGAATCTGAATTTTAATATTTGGGATTCTCCCAAATCTGCCGATTAATACAGATTCTTTAGATTCTTCCGTTTCTTCGGATGATTCGGAGATCCTTCAGAGGTTATTCCGTTTCTACAAATTTTTCTGCTTCTTCAGATGCCTCGATTTGTTCAGATTTTGAGTTTCTTCTGGAACTTCTTGGGAAGGTAAATTGATCAGATAATTCAAATTTTTCTGAACCCTGGATTGTTTCGTTTCTTTATAATAATGTGTCATTTTCCTGCCTTTTATGTAAATAAGTATTTCCCGACATCATCATGATACCTTAATTATCATGCCTACTTTATGCCAGGAAATTTTAGTTTCCATAACAAGAGTAGTAACACTTTACCTGATTACTTTTCCAGCCTCATATCACATTGGTAACATGACTCCTTTCAAAACTGACATTGATATTAATCAAAAGTTCTATCTTTGCATATAAATTTGATATTCAAAGGTTCTATATGAAAAAGCAATTTCGGAAAAATGTAATACAACACTCGTCAGTACAAAGACACTACTTGACTCGGAAATTGAAAGTACTCGGCCCGAAAGGGGATTCGTACTTCAAAATTTCCTCGCTAGTAATGAGTTATTTTTCGTGACTGTTAAGTAAACAACAATTATTTTTGTATTTTTGCGAAAAGGCTACCATATTTGATGGCAAAATTTTGTGATATTTATTACGCCAATATTTGCAAACATTCACGTATTAACCATGTCTTTCTGTATTTTAGGTATTAATATGGACGGTTATCCTGGTTGGGTGTATTGATGAAGTATTAGCCGAAATATCCTGCGAAATAACAGAAGTAAAATCGTCGACCCCGTCCGAGCATGATCTAAGCGATTTCTACTATGATCATGACAGTAGCGAAGTGTACGAAAAGTTATACAGTTTTGCAATATGCGAAGGTGGTGAAGTTGACGCCGACTATAAAATCAATATCCACACATCAGAAGAGTTGAAGTATATAATATTTCAGAACAGTAAACTCACAACAGTTCCCGTTCACATATTTGCATCGTTACAAGGTGTTCAAGAAATGTATTTAAATTCAAGTGAAGTGGAAACGATTCAACCGGGTGCATTTACTGGCCTTTCCAACTTAAATCAAATATACTTACAAGATAATAATATTACAAAGTTATCCGCTGGGATTTTTAATTCATTATCTAAGTTAGAAATACTAAACGCGGCGAACAATGTATTGGAAAGTGTAGAAGAGCATACCTTTTTGGGAGTACTTAATTTAATGAAATTAGATCTGCACAGCAATAATTTAAGTTACATTTTACCGAATACCTTTGCAAATTTGCAAAAGTTGGAGTACGTAGACCTATCACAGAATTATTTACTTGAAATAACATCCAACGTTTTTGCAACAAATCAGCTGTTATATTTGAATTTGTCTTGTAATAGCATCCAGAATGTAACTTTCTCGCACTTGCCCAGTTCATTGCAATTTTTAAATTTAAGTCACAATGTTATAGCTGAGGTAAGCAATTTATCTAATCTTCTTAGTTTGTTACAGTTGGATGTTAGTTTTAACAAAATAACTCAAATTTTTTTCGCCGTTCAAAACCAAACTGAAACATCGGTCACTTACAAATTGATCGATTTGGATATAAGTCACAATCTAATACCAAACATAACACTGAATTCTTTTAATAGCCTGCAAGACCTTATTAAACTCAACATGGCGAATAATTTGATCTCCGCAATTTCAATTGGGTCTTTAGACTACCTTCAATCACTCATATTCCTTAATATGTCAATGAATAAGATTGAGGAAGTAGATTTTGGCACATTTGGGAATTTGGAACGTTTGAACACGTTAGATATTTCCAACAATGGCTTAAGTAATTTCCAAGAAAGTACCCTTCATGGCACCAAAAATCTTACACATTTGTACTTATCTGATAACTTGATAAAGTCTATAGATGCGCCCTACCTAAAGGCTCACTGTGGATATTTAAAAACCATATCTCTACATAACAACCCATGGAACTGTTTAATTTTAGGCAAGCTGGTTAAAACGTTCGAAACATATCAAGTCACCGTTATACGCGGACCTACAACATTAGCACAGCACGTCAATGGAATACGTTGCTATACTAACAACCTTACTGAGCCGCTCGAATATATTAGCACAGCAGAGTCGACAACTAAAAAGTTTCTACTTCCAAATATGCCCAACGTCTCTACATACTTCGACTCCCTCGCTGAAAATATTAATACAACTTTTAATACTTTCTTCAACAACTTTCATCAACTTGAAGATACACTGCGAAGTTCTTCGGTTCATGCGTTCCCAAATTTTGAAAACTTAGATGCCCGCTTCAAAAGTACCAGTTTTTATAAATTTTTTACCATCAAATTTGATCAAACGGATTTTTTCCGTCATACTAGCAAGTACTGTGCAAATGCGGAACACGAGAAAGTCAAGATTATTCCAAAGCGCTTGGAATCAAATCCACCAAGTCCTTCGGACAGCGATAAATTTGTATCTAGGTTAGATGAGATTCTAGGTACTTTTAAGGGCAAAGTTACCGTTTTCATGATACTGGTTTTAATTGTGCTTGTTACTGTTACTGTCTTGCTTGTCTTATTGTATCTAAAGGTTCGCTCAATCGATAAATGCATGTTGTTGCAAAAACGCAAAGAAGAAAGCACGTGGTTCGATGCGCAGTTGGAATTGATTTAAGAATTGTGTAAATCATTTTTGTTCTGAGTAAACTTACAAATAATTATAAATAAAAGTGATCACATTTTTTTTTCACTTTCAACACGTAAGCGAAGAACTGTATTGAAGGATTCCAGTGAGAATAATACAAAAATACCTTCCTACGACATTCAGCTTTTTGGGTCCATTCGTAAAGTGAAATTGCATTTTATAATTGCCATCCTGAGTACCGCGATTATAGTGAGAACACATACCAAGTTTAAGCGAATATATGAATCCCACATCAATGGCGTGTATTTTTTTCATCCTTTATTCCATGACCCAACCGGGTCGGGATCTTTCAAAGGGAAAGAATACTTTTGCCTTATACTAATATTATAAAGATATATCGACTATCTCCATCACCATTTTTCATCTTCGGTAATAATGAATAATAATAATAATGAAATGGAATAATATGATGGAAAGTATGAACTTCACACATCTGGAAGTTACTTCGTAAATTAGGAGGTGCTAGTACACATACCCATAACACTCCAACAATTTCTCCGAATAAAATTGCCTCTTGTTTAATTAAGATATCAAATTCAATAAAACTAAGCAACAATACACTTCGCAGAATGAAAGTCAATTCAACAAAAGAAAACGAGCGCTGCGATTTCAGGAAAACTGTCTACTCCCATTATTTTAGAAGAAGTAACTTTAGCAATTGCGACAATGAAAAATCAAAAAGCTGCAGGATTTGATGGTATCTTCCCTGAATTTATAAAACATTTAGGAAAAGTAGCTTTAAATTGGCTAACATATTTTATTAACAATAATTTAGAAACAGAGATATTGCCAGAGGAATTTAATAAGAGTAGAGTTATTGCGATTTTAAAAACTGGCAAGTCTAACGATGACCCTTCAAATTATCGACCAATATCTTTATTGAGTGTTTGTTACAAATTATTCGAGAGAATTATGTATGGTAGAATACAACCTATCATTGAAGCAGTTCTACCACATGAACAAGCAGGATTCCGCACTAATAGACACTACTGATCAAGTAGTCGCCCTAACAACACATATAGAAGCCGGATTCCAAAAAGGTTTAAAACAGAGATGGCCCTTGTGGATCTTACGGCTGCTTACGATACGGTATGGAAAGACGGTTTAATATCAAAACTATATGATGTACTAATATGTAGTAAAATTGTTCGCATAATTGAAAAAATGCTATCAAACCACAAGTTTAGAGTTTTTGTCGGAGAAAACAGTAGCAAAATCCGTTTACTCAACAACGGACTTCCTCAAGGTTCAGTATTATCTCCTTTATTATTTTTATTTAATCTTTACATATATGATATTCCAACAGCCATTTCAAGAAAATTCATTTATGCGGATAATTTAGCGATTACTTTTCAACATAATGACTTTAAAATAATTGAAACAAAATTAACGGAATACCCAACATTTCATGAAATGGAGATTACTTCCCCAATTCCTCAAAAACTGAAGTAACCTGTTTTCATTTAAACAATCACCAGAAAAACTATAAAATTTACTGTATTATTAAATAATGTTAATTTAAGACACAATTTTCAACCAATCTACCTGGGAGTAACATTGGACAGTTCACTAACGTATAAATTAGGTACACATTGAGAAGCTTAGTCAGAAGTTACAAACTAGAAATAATATTTTGTGAAAATTAGCCGACACAGATTGGGGTGCAAATGCTAGAACCTTAAGAAGATCTGCTTTAGCTATTGTTTATTTAACTGTAGAGTATTGTTGCCCAGTATGGAAAAATAGTCACCATGTCTCAAGGGTTGATACATAACTGAATACAACAATGAGAATAATTACCGGCACATTTAAATCTACTCCTATACCTTGGTTACATGTTCTCTTATAAACATTGCTCCACCCAATATCAGACGAGAATTGTTTTTTAAAAAATTGTGGGAAAAATATAAAAATAACGCTGATTTCCCCATAAATTTAGATCTAAATAATTTACCTTTTTATCGATTAAAATCACGAAACCCGTTATGGAAAGAAGACTACATACATTCAAATGTATATTCCATTAAAGAACGTTGGAAAATTTTTTGGATACAGCATAATAACACAATTTTTAATCGAAATTTAATCAAAGAACCGTCCAATGAAGTTGCAGGACTTGATCTTCCAAGAAAAATGTGGGTCAAATTAAATCGTATAAGAACAGGACATGGAAGATGCAATTATATATTACACAAATGGAATCCAGAACACAATCCAGCCTGCCTATGCGGGGATCCTAAAGAAACCATCCAACATATAGTTGAGGAATGTCCAAATTCTAAGTTTAATCCCGGTTTTGAAGCACTTCATCGCATTTCTCCAGAAGCACTAGACTGGATACAAAATTTGATTTGTCCTGGTAAGAAATTAAGAATTAGAATTAGTGTAAAGTGACAGTATGAATATTTACACTTCTAATTCTTAATTTCTTACCAGGACAAATTAAATTGTATAAGACTTTAAGCTGTTGTAACCAGTCTAGTGCTTTTGGAGAAATGCGATGAAGTGCTTCAAAACCGGGATTAAACTTAGAATTTTGACAAAGGCCCACGAAATGCGAGCACTTGTTTAGATCGTACCTACTTCCTCCTTTACAAAATTTGCACAGCAAGTGCGCCAATCAATTAAATTGTACTTATTTATAAAGTCAAAGAATAGACGCAATAATTCATTTACACGCATGTTTATTAACTTCTACTTCTTAAATTACACAAACAAATAAAACGGCAACGACTACTATTATAGAAAAATAAAGCAAACGTAAACTAACAATAAAATTAGATGAAATACATCATATCAATGATGTACCTACCTATTTGCAGCAAAATTTCACCAAAATTCCTGATCAACCTTTGAATAATGTTAAATACAGGGTGTCTCGCTTGCCATTTCTTAAACTCGGACCGCTACTTGTGTTACTTATGTTACTCAGGAAGCCATACCCTTATTGTCGGCATCATTTCAACCTATAGGGCATTTAACTTCATTTTTTGCAGTACGCTTAATATTTGTTAACTTCGCCATTTTAAAATGTAAAATACTGTCAGTGTCAAGGTTTGTACTTGTATTACTTTTTTAACAAGCAATTGTAGCCAGAAAAGACTTTCATTAGTTGAGGAAAGGTTCCCATGACGGAGCATGCCTTTCCCCTTTGTAGCCTGTAGGGCGAGGCTACCTTTTTGATAAAGAAATATGTATGTGGATCTTACATCACCGGTTTTAATGGAAAGCAATTTACCAAGTTCTTTAGTGAGTTGCAAAACTTTAGCACAGAAGAGTTCCCACTGCACTGCAAAAGGCACAAAAAAATAATTTTGTTTGATTCTATTAGAAAACTTCCGAACTTTCTGTTTGGTCGAAGTAACCACTGAACAAGATTTGTTTGTAGAATTTGGTAGATGAAAAGGAGCCAATGTGTCCGAGCAAGTAGAAAGGAATTATGTCGTTAATTAAAAAAATGAAAGATAAGTCAGCTACTACTCCGAAGATAAGTAGAATATGGTTTCAGTTCCGATGGGAGAAAACCGCCAATTGGGACTCAAATTTCTATGAGTTAGTTTAGTGTATTCATTTTTTTCATTTCCTGACTATTGGCGTAATTTAAGCTGAATCGGTGGTGCAACATAAAACATCATTTTTTTTGAGTTCTTGGTAAGTTGTGCTGGCCAAACGCAAAGAACTCCAGGCATTTGTAACATAATACCATAATATACTATGATAATACGTTACAACTTGCAGATATTTGGGGGCATTTTCGGCACGAGATCGTCGGCTCCGTTAACTTAGCACCACCATTTCAAATTTCTGACTAAAGACAGATTGCGCTAGAATCTCTATGGCTAGCGCCAGCTAGCGCCACTTTGAGTTCAGCTAGCGCCATTATAGATTTTGCAGAAAAGCCCTTGACTTTCGGGGGGTGCTATGTTAACGCTAGCACCACCATTGCGTCCGATCACTTCCAAAAGCAAGCGCTGTGTTTGTCAGACCTAGCGCCCGCTAGCGCCACAAATTGTAGAGCTAGCGCCACCCCCCAATAGTGAGGGGAGCAATTTTTCCTAGCACCACCATTTTGTCTTTTCATGTAAAATTTTGACGTTTTGTGTTCTGCTGACCTAGCGCCAGCTAGCGCCACTTTGAATTCAGCTCGTGCCATTATAGATTTTGCAAAAAAGTCCTTGACTTTCGGGGGGTGCTATGTTAACGCTAGCACCACCATTGCGTCCGATCATTTCCAAAAGCAAGCGCTGTGTTCATCGAACCTAGCGCCAGCTAGCGCCACAAATTTTATAGCTAGCGCCACCCCCCAATAGTGCGGGGGAGACTTTTTCCTAGCACCACCATTTTGTTTTTTCGGGTAAAATTGTGACGTTTTGTGTTCTGCTGACCTAGCGCCAGCTGGCGCCACAATTTTAGAGCTTCCATCACCCTCCAATAGTGTGTGGGGGAGGGGGCACCACCATTTTGCCTTTTCGGGTAAAAATTTTATGTATTCTGTTTTGTAGACCTAGCGCTCAAGATAACCTAGTGCAATTATAGATTTTGCAAAGAGCCTTTAACTTTTGGGGGTGCTATATTAACGCTAACACCACCATTGTGTTCGATGACTACCAACAGCAAGCGCTGCGCTGTGTTCTTTAAACGTAGCGCCAGCTAGCGCCACAAATTGCAGAGCTGGCGCCCAATCCCCAACATTTTTGTTATTTTGTGTTTTGCTGACATATCTCCCAGATAGAGTCAAAATCTTAGGAGTTGGCGCCACACCCAAGTAGTCTGGGACAGTTTTTCCTAGCTTTATGACTTGGCGCCACTGAAATATTTTGGATTCATTTTCGAGTAAAACGAGTGGTGCAGTAGCTGAATCTGCGGCAAGTATAAAAATAAGGAAATACAGTTCAATTATAGAACAGAACCACATTTTTATACCTTTCGCAGTAGAGACAATGGAACCTGGGAAAACGCATTACCAATATTACTGGGGAACCCCGAGCTAC